AAGATATGAAATAATATCAAGAATTGAATTCAAAAACTGAAATTTCCACCATATCAGAAAATGTTCTAAGAAGGCACAAAAAAGGATTTCGGAATATTCAAACTTGTAGGCAACATACCTTAACTGGGTTTCATTCAGGAGACAGACATGGGAGTTTATGGGGAGGGAAGAATGAAGCAAGTGGGATATATATCTCTCTGATTTTCCTCCCATCTTTTGTCTGAAAAATCCCGTCTAAATGGACCTGTCTATATGGACCTAATAATGGCAGAGGTCCAGTGTGAAGCTCCATTTTTGACTTTTTTATTTTCTGTATTTCTGTTGGACGTTCATTTTCTTTGTAGACTATGAAAGAATGACTTGACCTCTAAAACAAATACAGAGTCCAGCATTTGAAATGGACAATAATTAATTTCAATAATTATTTTTAATTAATTGATTTGTTTATTATTTTCAAATAATTTTTGGCAGGTGATAATTTCCTAATCCTTTTTTTGAGCTGTCTTCTTTTTCATTTTTTTTTTGTATAATAAAACCCAACAACAGCAACACCGACTATTTGTTATATATACATATATATTTTTTTGTCATTGCCGTCTATACATTTTTTTACTTAATTATATTTATTGTCAAATATCTCACTGATGCCGATGATAAAAATGGTTTTTCCGTTTGCTTAATTAATTTTTTTTCAATTTTTTTTGTACAAAATGTGTATTATATTAAATTAATTTTATATACAAATTAAAACAATTATCAGTTATTATTATTACAATTATCATTTTGTCTTAATTTTTTTGTGTAACTTTAACATAACCCCATAACTTGGATGTAAAATTATTAAAAAAAGAACATACAAATAATTATATATACATAAAAAACAAATTATATAAATTTACTTTTTTTAATTTGTATTTTATTTTTTATCATTATTATTATTATTTCATTGTCTTTTTGTTTACTAGATTTACTTACATACATATACAAATGTGTTGTATTACATACTGAGATAGTTAAACTTAATAATAAATAAATTAAAAAAAAAAAAAACAATTTAAAACCCAAAATTTACTGAGAGAATTTTTTTATTTAATATTTAGAAATTACAAATTTAAATATGTTGACCAATATTTTTTTGTAAAGAACTGGAATTCGTTCAATCTGGATGTGTAAAATCTGAAAGCCTTGAATGAAATGGAGAGATTTCCATGAATTATAAATAAGTCTAATAGATGTATTGAGGCATTCAAAGGTATTTTGTTGAAACTTCTCAAATTTGTCGTCTGAAAATACATTTGGATTTTTGGATATAAAGAGACCCATCGTTTTGGGAAGAAAATAAACGTTTGTTACATAATCCCACCAAAAATGGACCATATTCTTCAAATGTTTTCTTAACATTTTCTAATATATATATATATATATATATATATATATATATATATATACAAATCTGAACTGATCTTGATAAAATTTAGCAAATGTATTTCTGAACTGCATTCGACATATTTCCCCAAATATTGTTGTTACAGAGTACATATTACAGCTGCGGAGGGCAAAAATAAAAAATCGGATGAACAATATACATGGGAGCTATAGCTATATCTGAACCGATCTTCACCAAATTTGGCATACTAGCTTCTAGACTCAATTCGGTCGTATGAGCCAAATTCCATCCCATTTGGGCAAATATTAGAGTTTAGTGCACAATAAAAGGCAAATCGGACAACGTTATATATGGGAGCTATATCCAAATCTGAACCGATCTCGATAAAATTTAGCAAAGGTATTTCTGAGCTGCATTTGATATATTTCCCCACATATTGTTGTTACAGAGTGCATATTACGGCTGCGAAGGACAAAAATAACAAATCGGATGAACAATATATATATATGGGAGCTATAGCTATATCTGAACCGATCTTCACCAAATTTGACATACTTATTTTCAGACCTAATCTGGTTGTATGTGCAAAATTCCATACTATTAGGGCTGATATTACACGTTTGGTGCACAATAAAAGGCAAATCGGACAAAGATATATATGGGAGCTTTATCTAAATTCCCGATTATCTCCAAAAATGAAGTTGGTCGATAAAACTTTACCCAAATGTATTATGGGTTCATAGCATTTTTATACACTCAGGTTCTAAGGCTCCAAAGGATATAAATCATTTGATTCGGCCTGAATGTGCCTCATCGAAATTATGGTTTAAACCCAAATCCGTTTCAGGACATTTGGAGTCGATCTGGCTGGAACGATAACTCTCAAAGGGAGTATCCGATTTGGTACAAACTTGGCACATCGTCATATTATTGTCAAACTGAGTTACAGTTTGAAAATGGTCAACATCGGTCCACACCTTCTATTACGACACCCAAAAAGTGTCAAAAATTTCAAGGAAAATAATTTTTATTCGATTTTGTGTAACTTTACAAAACCTACTATTTTTGTCACTGTAAGCCCAGGTGCGAAAAGGTACAATATCGGCCCACTTCCCCTGGTACCTCCCCCTCAACGGGTCAACATTTTTAAAAATTATATCTACCATAAAAAGCGAAATCAGTAAACGAATATCTTCAAAATTTCATACATCCTAATATTTTAACACAAGATCTGGTGTGAAGATGGCAGACATCGATCCACGCCTTCTTCCCACAAAGGGTCAAAAGTTTGAATAACCAAAACGATCATAAAATGCTAACTGAGCATCCAATTCCCTTAAAATTTCCCAAAAGCCCAATATTTTTTCACAACAAAAGATAAAAGGGCCTTAAGCTCGGCTGGGCTGAACTTTTTATACCCTCCACCACAAAATTTATCAAAGTAAATTGAAATAATAAAAAGAGTAGAATATCGCTATGTTCCCGAACTGCAAGAATGTAAAATTATCTACTACGATAACCGATTTTTCCTAAATGATATCGAAAAAATTCAAAAATAGTATATTCTTACAGGTTCTGTTTAAAATAAAAATTGAGCCAAATAGCGAAACCCATACTACCATCTAATTTGGTTGGAAATTGTTGCAGAAGCCTTAAAAATATCGGGATACACCGTCATGTGGCGGCTATACTAATTAATGTGCCTGAATCAAACACCTCCCGCAAGTAGAGAACAGACCTTTCGAGAACCTCAAATTTCAGGTTTCAGCTGATTTGGTTAGAAATTGTGGCAGAAATCTTCAGAATACAGGAAATCGGGAGGTAATGTTATATGGGGGACATAACAATTAGTGGACCTGAATCGGAATTTTTTTGCTTTTTTGGTGGAAATTTTTGGAAGAAACCTTCAAAATACCGAAAATTGGGAGGTACCGTTACAATGGGGGCTATACGGGAACGAGGGCATATATAACTCATTTTCAATACAAATCAGCCTGCATAAAATATATATAAACCTTTATTCCATATTTCAAAGCTCTAGATTAAATAATAAGGATTCATCGTGATTTCAACCCACAGATGGATAAACAGACAAAGGGACATCGCTAAATCGCCTAAGAATTGTATTCTGATCAGGAATATATATACTTCAGTAGTGTGCTTATGGGGATGTTGGGAATTCACCACGATTTATCACGGCAAATTCTATTGGGGATGTTGATTTGGGTAAATTCACCACGGTGAATTTTAATGGGGATGTTGTCTTGGGAATTGTACCACGGCAAATTCTATTGGGGATGTTGATTAGGGTAAATTCTCCACGGTGAAATATATTGGGGGTGTTGTCTTTTGAAATGTACCACGGTGAAATATATTGGGGATGTTGTCTTTTGAAATGTACCACGGTGAATTATATTGGGGATGTTGATTAGGGTAAATTCTCCACGGTGAAATATATTGGGGATGTTGTCTTTTGAAATGTACCACGGTGAAATATATTGGGGATGTTGTCTTTTGAAATGTACCACGGTGAATTATATTGGGGATGTTGTCTTTTGAAATGTACCACGGTGAATTATATTGGGGATGTTGTCGTTTGAATTGTACCACGGCAAATTATATTGGGGATGTTGTCTTTTGAATTGTACCACGTCAAATTTTATTGGGGCTGTTGGCGTTGGTGTTGCTAGTTTTAATATGAACTACTAGATGGCGCTAAGTTTAGCGCAGACACAATCCAAAACTGTGTATGGGATGGTGAAATTTCAAGTTTTAATATTCACCACTAGCAGAGACACCCTCCGAAAAAAAAAAATGTATTATGATCATATCGAGTGGGGCTAAAGAGATTCACCATGTGAGAAGTGAATATAGCAGAAACACATCTGAAAGAGGTAAGTATCGAAGAAAATCATTTTATCTAGATGGCTCTCAGAATGCTTTTATATAGTCAACATGCTGATTACTGCAGTCAAATGTGCTTATTAATTTATTTGAAAACATATATTTCAAGAAATCGACTTCAATAAATGTGATATATTATAGAAGAGTTTCAATTGACAAATATGCTGCAATTATTGATATTTCAGGGGTTTTAAGAAAAACGATAACGAAGTCGAGTGGGTTGAACACGAAAATCAGCATGTTGGCTATGCAAAACATGATGAGATAAAAAGACAAAACTAACTTTTCGTTGTACTTGTTTTAATTTGTCTATAATTTTAGCGACTCAAAAATGTTCAGTCATTTCCCTCGAAACGATATAGGCGACATCTAACGGTGAGTTCCATCCATACTATCCATAAATTATGTTGTAGCATAGACACACTCCAAAACTATTGAAATATGATCATATCGAATGGGGCTAGAGAGATCCACCATATGAGAAGTGAATATAGCAGAGACAAATTTGGTTAGTATCATAGTCAACAAGAAGATGTGTGTTCTATTATTTTGTCCAGATGGCTCTCCAGTCATTTCCCTCGAAACGATATAGGCGACATCTAACCACCAATTAATGTTGTAGCATATACACACTAAAAAAATGCTGCTGTAGCCAATCAAAGCAAATTCTTCTTGTGTGGACAGGCATTTTGATACATTATATCGATCGCTTTTTGATAGTTTTGTCGATGAAGAATTTGTTTACATTATGTAGCAATTTGAGAGAATTGAAACTGAAAGAGTTTCATGACAAACCCTGCATCAATTCGGTATTGAAGATTGAAGGGATTTGAAGAAGGAAACACCATTGTTTACATTAACTAACAATTGGATTTCTGTGAAATGGATATGAGAATTTGGGGGGAAGCGTTGTTGCAGAGTTTCATGACAAATTCTGCTTCAACGATAGATTGGAGCATGAATGAGAACATGCTTAACTATGCTCAAAATTAAAAACTCTAGTAACTCTGTAATATTGTGAAATTCGCGTTAAATATTCGTATATATAGAAGACAATTTCAAGTAAGGCTCACAGTATAAAATTAAACATTGAAAGTGATATTATGGCGAACGCAGATTTAATAAACTTATTCAATTCTTTCAGTTATAAAAAAATAATAACTTTGAAAGAAATGGAGGATAACAAAGAATACAACATCCATGGCGCCTTTAGAACAAATACAAAATATGGGGAAAGAATTGTGCTGAAAATTAATGATGCTATCCTCTATTTGCCGTCAAGATTCCTCTCGCTGGCGGATGAATACATAAAAGAAATAGCTGGTGGGGGTTATTCTGTGACGAAAACTGTGTTGAAAGATGGAAGCGGAAAGAGTCTTTACAAACTAGAATTAAAACATTTGGATCAACCAGATTATTTTTATCAACCATATTTAACATAAACTGAAAAGTAAATAAATATTTTGTTTGAAACTAAAAATTGCAAGCTGTTTTCATTTTAATGTGTACAGAGAAATATTTCAGTTTATTAGTGAAGCTTTAGAAAGGAAGATGTCTCTTCTTAATAAGGAAGACGAACGCTTAAAAACCTTTGCTCGCTGGCCTTTAAATTATCCAGATCCCAAGACAATGGCTGCAGTAGGACTTTATTATACTGGAGTAGGAGATATTACCAGATGTTATTTTTGTAAAGTAAACATTCATAGTTGGGATCAAACTGATTGTCCTGTTACTGAGCATTCAAGGTTGACATATCGTTGCCCATTGCTGGAAGGTCGTGAAACAACTAATGTCCCAACTATTTCAAAAAATTGGAATTGTACGCCTTCTGAAATTGGTGTAGATGTTTGTGGTCGTGGAGCGAGTAAATGTTCAACCATTTTCTTATTATTGTTCACTTTCATTACCTTTAATGCTTTAAATAAAGTTTTATGCAAATAATACAGTTGCTTGTTTTTATTTATTAACTTTATTAATTTCATCGTCTAGTATGTAGCCAAGTTCTTTCCAGTTTTGTTCAATGAATACAAATATCTTAAATATATTATTTACGGCACACTTAAATCTAGTGTCCAAATGTATAGGACAGTTTGTAAAATAATTTTGGCAAGCTCGAAGTTTCATATTATTTTCTAAATTTATAATGGTAGAATGAATATATTTCTGTAAAAAGATTTTCTTTTCTTGTCCAACGACAAAAATATATTGATAGTTGTTCAATGGTGTAAGAGCTTTCTCGATATCATTATAATTTTTTTCTCCATCCGTCCAATCTAAGCCATTCACATGTGTCTTGGTGTAGGCATTTGTTCTGCATGCTTCCCCAGAAAGTTCTTTTATATTAAAAGGTGGACGAAACAAAAAATAATCTGGAACAACAGAAGCACCACACATAAATGATAGTTCCTTCACGAAAATACTCTTGTGGTTTCCATGGCAATATTGAAAATCAACCAGTGCAATATCCGATCTATTGATTTCAATCATCTTCTTAGGAAAGTTGAATTTGAATGGAGGGGATATCATCGATGTTGGAGTATTTATAAAATTTTGTTCATGTCCAATAAAAACTTCAAACAAAGATGTCCACAATTGTATGTATGAAATCGTTGATCTCTTTTATAATTGTATGTAATAGCTGGTCCCAAATAATGTAAAACTTCTACCGGGGGTTGAAGATTACCGAAACTGTCGTAATAGTCGATATTATTATTGATTTTATTATATGCCACCCAATGCGTGCCAGGTCCACTGCTAACATCCAAATTTATGATACCACATTCAATTCGATGTGGTTTCTTAGGTAGATTATCACGCATATAAACACCTCTAAAGTGAGGTATATATTTTTTCCCAAAAAAACTAATATTTACATCGGTTAGAGGACCTTTGGGTAGCTGCTTAATTAGTTTTTTGGAGTTTTATTTTCATCAACATAAATTCCATAGCCCTTTTTATATGGTTTGAGATAGAGACCTTTACCCATAGCTATAGCTTCTATTGTTTTGTTATGTCTGGTTTGTTCATCCAACTCTTGTTTGGCTTTTTTTGCATTTAAAACGGCATTGGTAATTGCTGAACTACCCGATGCTAAGGCTCCCAATGCTCCTAATCCAGTTAGAATGGGAATGAGAGGAAGAAATCCACCTCTTTTGGGGACGCTTATTACTCGCGGTATAGCGACCTTTGATTTTTTTCCTCGAAACGTCTTTTGTATTTCATGTCTGGCTATTTTTATGGCTTCATCAATATCAGTTGGTTTTTTGCTTTTAAGGGAAATCGTAGCTTTTTTTAAAGCGTTTTTAAAAAGTTGTTGACCCAATATTTGTTTGGGGTTTTTATTACCCATGCCTAGCTTTGTCTTAGCCTTCATTATGTTAGTTACAAGATATGCGCTAATTTTTTCTCCAATGTTACTATTTTTCGATTTTACTCGCTCCCAAGCCCGTTCAGTTAGTTCACGATCAGCAATGTGACGTTGTTCAATATCTTTATTTTGTGAATAGGCAATATCGTGTGCTCTACACGCTGCATCTAATGGATTAATACCTTGATCTCCTCTTTGAATACGTTTTTCTAGCTTTGTTCCAGGTCCACAAAATTGATATCCTGGTAAATGAAGTTCAACGGGTAAAGAGTTAATCAACTTATTTACCAGTCCTCCTCCTTGAACGTGTTTCTTTCTAATAAATCGCTTCGTTTTGTAAACAATCATTTTATACTTTTTAGCGGGACGCTGAACGAAAGAAATATCGATATTTGATTATATTATAAATATGAATGTTTTCTTAAAACTACTCATTAGTTTAAATCATGAGATTACTGGAACAACAAGCTAAAATAATTGTTCAAAATGTGGATTTTATGAAAAGAAAGACCCCTCGTCATAGTACTTTGCTGCCTGATTCTATACGAGCCTTAATAGTAGGACCATCAAATTGTGGAAAGACTAATGTGATGCTTAGTTTGATAGAAAGCCCCAATGGATTAAAATTTGAAAATGTTTACATTTACTCAAAATCGCTGTATCAGACAAAATATGAGTACCTAAAGAAACTGATATCCACTATAAAGGGGATGAGATTGTATACATTTAATAACAATGACGATGTTATACAAACGGACGAAATAAAGCCAAACTCAATCATGATTTTTGATGATGTTGCATGCGATAAACAAAACAACATTAAAAATTACTTCAGTATGGGGCGACATAAGAATGTTGATTCGTTTTATTTGTGTCAAACATACACACGTATACCAAAACATTTATTGCGTGATAATGCGAATTTTATAATCGTGTTTAAACAAGATGATCTGAATTTAAGACATATATTTAATGATCACGTCGGATGTGACATTAGTTTTGAAGATTTCAAAAAAATTTGTCATGAATGCTGGAAGGAAAAGTATGGATTTCTAACGATTTCCAAGGATGACGAAATTCACTCTGGAAGATACAGAAAAGGCTTTCATATATTTATTCAACCTTAATATTATTTAATGTATTTGCAAATGTTAATTTATATTAGTGCACCTACAGCCATGGAGGAGGAAATGCTGAAACGGCTTGTTAAGTCCAGAAATGTCTTGAAAAAGAAATTTCAAAGCATTAAAATGGGTGAAGAAGCTAAAACTACAGAATTGAAAAATACTTTCAAACCAATAACGGAGCCAATAAACAAACTACTAAAGCTTTCAACTGAAAATACTTCCAAAATGATTATGCCTAAGAAAGAGAAAATGGAAATGTACAGAGATTCTATTATTACAAGTACACCCCTTAAGAATTATAAACCAGATGTTAAGTTAGATTCCAATGCATTGGAGGGGTTAAAGCATAAAGTAGATTACACACAAAATTTCGATTCCTTTAATACATCACAAGACGACGACAAATTTTATTCCAACAATGAGGAACCTATGAATCTATCATTCTTGAAGAAAATTAAAAAACTAGATGTAGTCTATGGTCCACACAAAGATAACAATGGAGAATGGAGATTTGGGGACCAACCACTCAAAATAAGCAATGAAAAGATTATGATTGGAAATAAAAATTGGGCATTAACACCCGGTTTGTTTGAACTGTTGTTTTATCAAGACCCCAAGAACTATGATCATACAGAACTCGATATTTACAAAACAATATTATTAGACACAAATGCGCATAAAATAAACTATGAATCTAATGGACGAACAAAGTCCAACAGGGGACAAAAATATAAGAAAATAATAAAAAATATAATAGAGGATACTCACAGCGGCAAAGGCTTACTGACAATAAATCCTGGTAAACCCAACTATATATACTGGGACGATCCCAACGAATTGATAGAACGATTAAAGCTGTTGTTGGCATCACAACAAGCCGGAAACAATAACCATACTAATGAAATTGTTTCTATTATCGAGGAACTGCGAGAAGGAAATATAATATATTAAATAATACTCTCAAGGAGCATACAACATATGACTGTTGACAAGTTTGGACATCATTACAATCAAAAAAATCAATCAATAGCAGTGAGAGAAAATGTTTCGAGATTATTGGGAGTCAATATTGATGAAGATAACAACCTTAACGTGCAAAATAAAAAGATTAGGAATGTTGCATCTCCAGCAGAAGGAGCGGATGCGGTCAACCAAGCATACGTACATACGCAAATCAAGCACATTCAAGAAATTTTAAAGAAAAATTTCATTCAAGAGTGCACCTTCCTAAGAGAAGAAATATCACAACTCAAACGTTCACAAAACGAAATATTTAAAGCCTTATCGCAAGCTCCATTCAACTCACCAGCTTTAATATATCATACCGAATAAAACAATGGAAAAGCGGGGTTTGGTAAATGAACTTCATCATCAAGCACGAAAAAACTTTCCAAGACGAAGGGTTATTACAAAGGGTATTGATGATCTCTGGCAAGCAGATTTAGTTGAAATGGGCAGTTACTCAAAAGCAAACAAGGGGTTCCGATTTTTGTTAACTGTCATCGATACATTTTCGAAATTCGCATGGTGTGAAGCCCTTAAAACAAAAACGGCAACGGATGTTTCTATGGCTTTTGAAAAAATCTTACAAAGAGGAAGAATTCCAAAAAATTTGCAAACCGATGATGGAAAAGAATTTTTCAACACAGATTTTAAAAAACTAATGCAGAAATATTCCATAAACCACTACTCCACATATAGTGTATTGAAGGCCTCAATTGTTGAGCGTTTTAATAGAACTTTGAAGTCGCTAATGTGGAAGGAGTTCAGTTATAATGGGAATTATCTATGGATTGATGTTTATAGAGAATTGGTTAAACAATACAATAAAACACCTCATCGAACAATAAAAATGGCCCCTATTCAAGTAAATTCATCGAATGAGAAGGCATTGTTGCAATCTGCTTATAACCACTTAAAAATTTTTAGGAGACAAAACTTTCGTGTGGGTGATCATGTACGCATTAGCAAATATAAACATCAATTTGAAAAGGGATACACGCCAAATTGGACTACGGAAATATTCAAGATAAGAACAATAAGAATAACAAACCCCGCTACTTATTTATTAGAAGACTATGAAGGAAATCCCATCCAAGGATGTTTCTACAAAGAAGAACTTTTACCCACAAAATATCCCAACACGTATTTAGTTGAGAAAATTTTAAAAACAAAAGGTAATAAAGTCTTGGTTAAGTGGCTGGGATTCTCAGACAAACATAATTCATGGATAGATAAGAATCATATCATATAATATTAATATGTAGATATACATATATATACAAGCATATATTTAAATAAATAAAAACCCATATATACGTATGCATATTTTGTGTTTCAATTATTACGACAAAGAATTTTGCAATGTCAAGAACGTTTACTGTGTCCGGTAAATCTCCAATTCTACATTCAACATATTTACCCCCAATTGAATTGGGAAATAGTAGTTATGAGTGTTGCCTAATAGATTTCCAATCATACAATTCAATACCCAATGTGGATAATGATAACAATCTCTTTCATATTGGAGACAATATTATAAAAATACCTATAGGATCCTATGAATTGCAAGATATTGCGAATTACTTGGAAACGGAATATAAAACTATCCACGAGAATAGATCCATTGAAATTAAGGCGAATAATAATACGCTAAAAGTAGAAATCATGTCTTCTCATGATCCTATTTACTTTGATAAAGAAAAATCTATAGGCAAGCTTTTTGGTTTTACCGAAAAAATCTTAGAATCTGGGAAAAAACATACTTCAAACCTTCAAGTCGACATTTTAAAGGTTAATGCCATACAAATACACTGCAATATTGTAACTGGATCATTCATGAATGGGTCGCCAACGCATATTCTACATGAATTTGCTCTTAATGTTCCTCCGGGATATAAATTGGTAGAGAGACCAATGAATCTCATTTATTTACCAGTGAACGTCAAAGAAATCGGTCGTCTGGAGATAAAGATAGTAGATCAAGAAGGTCGCTTTATAAATTTTAGAGAAGAAGAAATCACGCTACGTATTCATATAAGACCAATGCAATCATGATTATCTACAATAAATACAATCATAAACAAATACCAAGACACATTCAACACAAAGTTGTCAAACCGACAAGACCTACAATTTCAAAGGAAAATAAAGAGTTTTTAAAACTTATTAAGCTTAAAGTCAAACCAAATGTCTGAAATACTTAACATTAATGAGCGTCCATTCTCAGATGAGAATATTGTAAAGAGAGACTACCACAGCTATGTTCCATATATTCAATCATTTAAAAATAATGATGAAATTCGGATAAGTATACAAAATCAGGATCTTTACATACTTCCATCGGAGAGTTATCTATTCATTGAAGGAAATTTGAAAAATAGCAAGGGAGAAGTATCGCAAAATGCAAGACTGAGAAATAATTGTGTGGGATACATGTTTGATGAAATTCGCTATGAACTAAATGGAGTTGAAATTGATCGTACTCGTTATCTAGGAATAACTACAGAAATTAAAAATTGGATTTCTCTAAGCGAATCCGAAAGTAAGGTTATGAGCAAAGCGGGATGGAAAGCTGATAATGATTTATCAGTAGGATACTTTAATTTTTGTGTACCCTTAAACCGTCTACTAGGGTTCGCAGAGGACTTTGATAAAGTAATTTGCAACAGCAAGCACGACTTGATTCTTTTGCGTAGTGCCAACGATAAAAATGTGTGTTATTCAACCATGGATACGGAGGAAATTAAACTCACCATAACAAATGTTGTATGGAAAGTACAACACATTCAATTATCAGACTATAGAAAAATCAGCTTCTTGAAAACTATTAAGGATGGAAAAGCGTTGCCTTTAGCATTCCGCAGCTGGGACTGCTACTTTAATCCAACTTTTGCTGGTGGAAGACAACACAGTTGGAGTGTTAAATTGTCTGTCAATCATGAAAGACCACGATATGTTGCTTTGATATTTGAAAAAGACAACAAGCTGGAACATTGCGAACTTAAAAACATCAAAGTTCACTTGAACTCTGAAACCTATCCTTACGATGATTTGAATGTAAAGTTCGAAGAAAATGGCTATGCAGTACTATATGACATGTATACAAAGTTTCAACAATCATATTACATGAGGGAGCCACAACCAATTCTTACATATGCAAGTTTTAAAGACAAGCCCATTGCCGTTATTGACATTAGCAATCAAAACGAAGCTGTTAAGAATGGACCAATCGATTTAAAAATCCAATTTGAAACCAATAAACCAATTCCACAAAACACTTCTGCGTACTGTTTAATTATACATGATCGTCTGGTCGAGTACGTTCCATTAACAGGAATTGTACGAAAAGTAGTATAATCTATTTTATACTCACCTTTGCAAGAATATTTCAATAAAACGCAATTTACATAAATTTATAAACAAAAATATTTTGTTTTATTTTATAATAAGAATAGTTAAAGACTAGTTAAAATATAATACACTTATATTTACTTAAAAATTAAACATTTTGTGTTGCGAGAAAATATTAATATGATGACATTTATAGTGAGTAAAGACAATTAAATTAATATTATTACTATGCTCTTTTATCTATATATTGAAACTTAAATCATAATTAAATTTATATTTTAATCCAAGTCCATTGAGACAGATTCATTTGAGTTATTTACATTTGTTTCATGAAGGTTATTTAATCTATAGTGACCCCAAGCATAGGTGTGAATACCATCCTCTAGAATAAATCGTTTATCATCATGATGGCTTAGCGATATTTTAGTAATTTTGTCTGTATATATTGTATGCTGTCTTGACCTAAACGAAAACATGGTACCGTAAAAAACCTTTTTGTTATAAAGACATTCTCGATATTTATCTATAGTATACTTTTTTAGGACCGACTTTTTAACTCCCTTAGATTTTTTTACTTCTTCGCTATCAACTACATTGATGGCATACATTTTAGGACGAAGGCCTACAAATTCAACCATTGTTTTTCCGTCATTCTCATCTTTCATCATGCCAAGTTTTTTCTTATTAATTAGAGGAAGTTTATATTTATTTTCTTTTGAAAACCCTGAGGTGTCAAATCTAGCCAATATTTCATCTAAAGATAATTCGGAATACAAATTCCGTCCGTAAAATGTTAATATGAACGAATCTGTATCCATATAATTTAGAATAAAATCCTCACCAAATTTCACTTTTAGAAAATCATACAGAAAATCATACATCACCCACTTTGATAAATCTAATATGCAGAACCCTAAGTACAATGGTCTATCATATTTTACTCTGACATTCCTAATTTGAATAGCAACCATATTTTCGGAGAATATCGAAAGGCTGTGAAAATTTGGCTTCGAGATTAATTTACTAGCAACATTCCTTCTTCTTTGGTTTGCCTCATCTACCCACATTGTCACAATTTTCACAGTTTTTCTTTTGTCGATATTCTCCATTGTCTTACCGAATGAAGAGTTATTCAATAATTTAAAAAAATCTTTTTCAAAGGCATTTTCAGCCTTTTCCCTATGTTCATTATTCTTCAGTATGTAAGGAGCTAACCAAGCGCTTTGTGTGAAAGCCAAAACTCTATGGACTTTCTTAAGAATTAGTCCATGTTTCAGAGATTGCTTAAGTAATTTGTAGTGTATGGTGTATGATGTTTTGTCAGTAAAATCTGCAATCAGTTTTTCAGTTTTTGAGCCCTCAACACACTTTTTCTCCGCCAAAAAAGGTAAATCGTTATGTTTGTCGTGAAGGTGCGGTGGATATTCAATATCAACCTCTAAAATAAAACCAGTAGGAGCGTTGTCAGGAATAGATAATATTACAGCTGGATCATTGAATTTCTCCATTTCATAACCCTCCACCCATCTAAAATCTTTTTCAGGGAGACACTCAGTCATAACTGTACCATATAAATTATTTACATCCAAGTAATAGATATTTACCTCTGGTTTGGCACTATTATAATTGGGAGCATCTTCATTATTTGCTACCGAGTGTCTGTTTGAGCACTGGGTAAGCCCTCCCCGAATACCATTTTTGCAGAAATTGTACATGTCTATATCTCTGAGTAGCTCAAGTTCGACTTTAGTACATAGTAGCATTGCATCCCAAGATAGAGATGGTGCTGTGAGATATTGACAAGGGTCCAGTTCGTGAATTCGCATACATAAGCTCCTGAAATTTTCAAATACGTCTGCTAAAAGCAAGACATCAGCTTTTAAATACAAATCCATGTAGTCTTGCATAGTTTGACATCGAAAATGTGACCAAACATTTGTTGCATGCCTATAATCGTCTGACGAGCATTCAGTATCTGTCAACTTATTATAAAATTGGTCTATAGGGGGAAGTTGTTTCTCCTTCAATTTTTCAAATGATGAAATATATTCGTAGGGAAATACTCCTTTCCTAGTCATAAGTTCGAATGCTTCATCATCAGGAAAATGAGATCTGACAGCAACAAAAGAATCTCGAGATAAATTCCTTGCTAATTTATCCAAACTAGTAGGCATAAATCGAAAACTATCTAAGAAACGATGCTCTAATCTATTCATTTTCTTTTTCTTCTCTTTTTTGCCCTCACTTTCCTCTTCTTGCTGGAATTCCTCATCATCTTCCTCACTCGAATCTTCTTCTTCTCCTACAACAACTGTACTTTTTAAAGAACTAGAGTCGGTTGACTCGTTATCCATATTAATGAAATAAGACATTGAAATATATTTTTCTTTGTTTTGAGGTATGACTCTTATTTCACCTCCAAATTCAACTAATTCTTTAAAGAAGAGGTGACAGTCGTACGAAGAAAAATTGTGGAAATATATTGGAATAAATTTAGGTAGATGATATTGCAGATTGCAATGGTTATGTACCGCACCTCGATATTGCCCCGTTAAGTGACAATGATCTTTCACCCTATCGTTACCTAAAATATCGCCACATATACGACAATTTATATCCCTAAGAAAGGCTGTCTCTTCTTCGGGTGTTAGAGTATTCATAGGTTTCGTTTTGGTTAGGTAACTATCATACAAAAATTTACAATCCTGAATTAGTTCTTTCAGAAAAACATTTGCTGCGTCGGGTCCACTATATATAAATAACTTATTTAAATTTTCATTAAAACTACATTTAATAAAATAACTAAAAGCACATGGAATATGCTTCTTTACCTTTTCCGTTTTTTTACTCGCCCC